TCCCCGCAGCAGGGAGGGAGGGAGCCTTGTGCCTGCGTAGGGACCGTGGTGCTGAGAGCTGCTTCTGGTGTGTGTGTGCAGGACAGCGAGCCCTTCCTTGCACGTGTAGGAGTGTGCATGGGGTGTGCTTGTGTGTGTGTGTGTGGTGCATGTGTGTGAGCAGAGCTCACTGGTCTGTACTGGGAAGAGCTACGCTTTGTGCGTGCACAGCACCAGTGACCTCTGCTCTTCCTCTCCGTGGGGCTCTGTCCCCCGAGCGCGGCACGAAGCCTCTTTGGTGCCAGCTGAGCTGTGCCAGTGGTGCTGTGCAGAGCCCAGCGTGTGGCCCTGGGCCCCACTCGCTCCAGTATCTGAACCCCACGTCTGTGTGACCTGAGCGGTGCCTGGGACCTGCTGTGGAGCGTGGAGGGGGGAGGCGTTGGGGAGCCAGCAAAGCTGTGGGCCCCGGGCGCTGCAGGGCACGTTTGCAGCGGTTCTCTCTGCTGGTGGAACCGCAGCTGCCTCTCAGCACGCTCGCACCACGCACACACTCGTCCACGCAGCGTGCACGCAGTCCTGCCCACACACTCGCCCTCGCTGGTTGCACACACACACTCCTGGTCCTCATGTCTAGTGTAGACAGTCTCTGTTCCCCCTGTGAACGTGCTCCTCTTCCCCCAGTGCCCCTGTCAATGTGCTGGCTCAGGCCTCTCTCCTCCTCCCCATCTAAATGTGCTTTCCAGCCACCATTGCTCATTACACCCGTGTCTGCTTCTGTGGAACTGGCCACCACAAAGTCCTTGTACGTGTTGCAGCGTGTTAGCCTGTGTGAACAGCCATCATTGCTCTGGGCTCAGACCCCACACATGCACATGTCCTGTGCCCCATCCCTCTCACCGCACTACGCGCATCCCACATTCCCCCGACTCCTCGTGCTGGGACCGTACCCATCTCCTCCAGCTTCTGACATCCTGGAAGTATCTGCTCCAGTGTCCTGAATGCTCCCCACTCTCCCCACCATTTCCATCTCATCCACCTCCCAGTTCTCTCTCTGCACGTGTTCTCAGCCACTCCCAGCGCACGTGCTCTCCCCGCTCTCCGGCTGGCT